TCTTTTAAGCAATACCAGAGCCGCAGCTGCCCCTTCTCATCCCCAGTTGCTATCCAGTCTTCCTTAGGATGAACACTCAAGCATGTAAGATTTTCGGAGCAGGCAAACTTGGTGAAGCCTGCTTTTAGCTTCGCTGTCGATGCGACGTAGACTTTGGTACCACCGGCAACAACAAGCCACTTTCCAGAAGCAGAGACGTCCATCCCGACCATCATTCGAGCCTTCCCTACAACAATGACTTGACTAGATTTTTGAATGCTTGATCCTGAGGTTGCGTTGGTCGTTCGCAAGGAGACTCTCATAATGACGGATGTTTGAGTTTGTTCATCTATATCAGAAAATAAGCTCAAACGACAGAATCTTCGCCGGGATGCATGCACACCTTGCCCTTTCTTCTTATTCGGTTTCTTACAAGCGACAAAAACATAGTCCTCCATATCTGGGTGCGCACATAGATGTGTAATGGGGAGGCCGACGTCGATGGTGCGCAATAATGTAGCATCGATAAAGTCCCATATTCGTAGTGTACCATCGGATGATCCAGCGAAAAGTTGGAACGAGTTTTGAGGGTTTATCTTGAGGCAAGTCACTCGATCTGAATGACCGTTGGTAACTCGCGTGTGGCTCGTGAGGGTGGAGACGACTTTTCCGGTCGCAGTAGAGTAGATTTTTACCGAAGACGATACAGGAATGAAGAAGTATCTTTTTTCGTAGGGTTCAGCACACTCCCACTAAGATTTGAGAGATAGTCCATACCTTGCGTCTTTAGTAAAAAGGGCTGGCTGCGTTGAAACTTGAGGATCAGCAAGAGTCGACCAACTCCAGGGTTCAATACTCTCATCCAAGACTACTGCAGAACCCTTCCTGAGCTGCTTGGAGGGGCTCACAGGAGCCACCTCCTCTCGGCCTTTTCCTTTGAGAGATGCACGCTTTACAGCCTTTCCAGACCCTTGAGCCTTTTGATTTTTAGTCGAGCGCATTGCATGCGGCCCTTAATCTTGGAAGAGGCTTTGGTCGAAAACAATTTCTAACCCCGACCACATCTGCACCGAGGTCAGGTCGGCTCGATTTAGTTCGTCGTTTTTTTCGACATCTATTACGCCGCACTCTGGGGATTTAGGTTGAATTTGGTAACCTACGGCTTGCTGCAGCCGACTTTGAGGTACGCGTTCACATCTTATGGTCGGCATTGGAAAAGAGCTACTTTTGACTTTACACAAGATTTGTTCGGAGCCTTATGTTAAGCTCTGAAACTGGGATATGCGATTTCATGTTCTTGGAGTTGGTTCTATTGGTACACTCGTCGCCCATCACCTTCGTAGAGCACTCCCAACAAGCGACAAACTTTCTCTCATTATCCGCAAGGGACCTCATGAACACGTGCCAGAAAACCCACCCCAATCACTCATTGTTGAGCACGATGGTGTACGGTCTCAAGTACGTGGAGGCTTTCAAACCGAGTATGCAGAGACGGCAAAGGAAGCTGCCTTCCAGCTCCTCAAGGCCGCTAGAATGCAGCAAAGATTCAAAAACACGGATAAAGTCAAAGAGATATCCCGTCAGCAGAAGGAGCTCGAAGAGCGCGAGGCAGGAGAGCCCATCGAAAGTCTCATTGTCGCAACAAAGGCGACCAGGACGTTGCAGGCAATTCGACAATGCAGAGAAAGACTCTCACCGAGCTCTACCATCGTTTTGCTGCAGAACGGAATGGGGATATACGAAACGGTCATTGACAACTTGTTCCCGTACGTTGAGGAGCGACCCAATTTTATCCTCGCTTCGACGACCCATGGTGCATGGAAGAACCGAGATGAAAAGACGTCGCACTATGTTATCCACTCTGGCTTTGGAGAATTGCAGTTTGCTATCATCCCCGACTCGCGCAAGAACGGACGAGACTTTGAAAAGACGTTTTGGCAAGTTGCCCCCGAGACTCCTGTTGGCCAACGAAAGCTGTCGCTGGGAGATATCGAGGATGAGGCGGCGTCGAAGGATATACTGGAAGACCCCAAATATGTTTCTCTCCGAAAAACGGTGGCTGCCCTCCTCGCTATGGATCTCAACACCAAGTGGCAGCCGATGGCCCAGCTTCAGATCCGATTACGGCAAAAGCTAGCTATCAACTGTAGTGTCAACCCCCTGACGGCGCTCATCGGCTGTAGGAATGGCGATTTGCTGGGGAGTGGGCACTCACGCGATCTCATCCGTTCCGTCTGTCGTGAGGCGTCAGACGTTTTTCGATGTGTATACGAGCAGAGCGACATGGATACAGGGGAGTGGCTTTTCGGCGGTGGGAATGCGGCGGCTGGAGGATACCAAGCCTTATCCGCCGGTATGCTGGAAAACGAGACATGGAGGGTAATCAAAAATACCGCTGCCAACTACTCATCCATGGTGGTCGACATGGAGAAGGGGTCAACCCTTGAGATTGACTACATGAATGGCTATCTCTCTCGATTAGGACAGACATATCAGGTTCCTACCCCGACTGTCGATGCCCTGCGGCACTCTGTTCTAATTAAAGCTGCCTTACGCCGCAACATACATCTCGTCTAATTGTAACATTATACACCACTTAGAATATATATCCCCTGGTCTTAATCTTTTTCCCGCGCATATAATTTGAAGAGTGGAAATTTGGAATTGCACGACAATCTACGCGAAGACAAAGACAAAACGTTCGGAAAAACGGGGAGCAGCCTCTACGGAGACGATGTGTTAACTATTACAACCGCAATGCGAGCGGCAAGGAGACCCTAGACAGAGAGAAGGAGAAACCGAGCCCGAAACCGGTACAAACCAAATCCTCGCGAACAGGTGAAACGACAGGAAGGGAGGAAGGACTCGAGCACAATCACTATCAACAGGGCATGGGAAGCGTCCATAGAGAGCCGGAAAATAAGAAGAGCAGAGGAGAGAGAGGGATAGGGAAATAGAAATCTATCGCATTATAGTCACCCGTACCATGTCAAGGTCCAAATAGAGAACGAAAAGGAACAGAGAGAAAGAGATTGAGAGAAACAGAGATATGTTTGAGGAAAGGAGATCATGGTTGAATCTTCATCATAGGAGGAACGATTCGTTAAAGGCATAGGTTCCATATCAAGCCCAAGAAGGGCCCGCTGCACCGTAGTGGTACAAATAGTCTTGATTGTCATGATTGGATAGGTAGGTAGGGTTGGAGTAAGCAGGGTATGTCGCTTGGCTGGTGTGGTAGTTCATAGATCCCAGCGTCGTGTCTTTGTGCGAGCCAACTGTGCTAGACATACCATACGACCATCCTTGAGGAGAGGGAAGCATATAACTCGCGCCATCTTGGACGAGAGGGGAGACTTCGTGTTGCGTCTGGAGCATCGAGTCCCAACCGTCGGAGTACGTCGTCGGGTGATGCATCGCAGAGGTCTCGAGAGGTGGTGG